TAACTAGTTCAGAAAAGATAGTTTTTTCTATTAAAGTTGGGGTTTGAGTGGAAGAGACAGATAGGCTGGTGACAGAAGGATTACACAGCACAAAATATTATTAATCTAATCAAGCAAACTTAGACTTGATATGGACAGAACAGCTGAGACCAAGCCCCTTAGAACTTGAGAATATCTTATTTGTTATATTGATTAAAAGTGTAACTGAAAAACTAGGGTTGGCTATAAATTTACTGTTTTCAGTTTTGGTGAGTGGGAGTTAAATGAACTGTTATTCAGGAAATAGTGGCCAAAGAAAAAATAGCCATACGCTTTTAGCTAGTCACTCCTGCATCGATGAGAATCATTGTTTTGTTAACTTCATCAACATGTTCATTTCTTTCAGCTCCATGTTCATGCATGTCTTTTAATCCGGAAACAAGAAGACTGTCCATAGGTCTAGACAATGGTACAATCTCAGTAAGTACACATAAATAAGATTTCCAGTTAAAATAATTCCCTTCCTGTGGAATATGTATATGTGTATTGTGATGAAAATTATTTATTAGTTTTTTTTTTCAAATTAACAAGTGAATTTTCTTGCTAAGTAAAGTAAAAATTGCAGTGCAGCAATTTATGTTGAGGTATAGGGAGAGCTATCATTAGACTCAAAGCTGATAAAATTCAGCTTGAATTACAGTGTACACAGTGCCTAGAATAGGGGCATTATGAGGCCAGCAAGTGAACTACACAAATCTGTGTGTTAGTGGGAACAAGCTGTGATACTAGTGGCTTTGATCAGATTGTTAATCATGGTGTCATATGCTTCCCCACACAAGTGACAGAATACAAGAGAAATGACTTTTTTAGACTACATATCTGATCTTGTCTTTGATAATCTGTTTTCTCCTTCCCCTCTTTCTTCCGTTCGTCGTTGTCCTCTTAACTCCCTGTAGCATGTGAGTAGAATTTAGTAAATTTATATGAATTTTTAAAGAAAACACAGAATCTACATTTAGTCTGAATAGTAGATCCAGGTAAATATTAGCCAGTGGTTCTCAATCTCTGGTACTTTAAATACAGTTCCTCGTGTTGTGACCCAACCATAAAATTTTTCATTGCTACTTCATAACTGTAATGTTGCTACTGTTATGAATCATAATGTAAATATCTGATATGCAGGATGGTCTTAGGCACCCCCTGTGAAAGGGTCGTTCGACTGCCAAAGGGTTGTCGACCCACAGGTTGAGAACCGCTGTATTAGACCTTTCAATTGTAGAATTTGAGGGAACTGAAGTTATTAAAGATTGGGATCTCAGATTTTACCACTTAATCTTATTTTTACATACAGTCAAACCTCATTTCTCGAACATCTCCCATCTAGAACAATTTGGTTCTTGACCAAGTTGTTCATAGAAAAAAATGTCTCGGTATCGAACCAAACTTCAGTTTTCGAACTGACAACCCTTTCAAGCTGATAGTCATCATGACAAAAAGGGTCTCTTAGGCAATAAAAGAGAGAATGCTTTTGTTGCTGGCAAAACTGAAATCAAAGATTAGCAGAATTTTGAAACATAAAGAGGCCATCAAGAGTGCTGATGTTGCTAAGGGTGTGAAAGAAACAAGGATCACAATTGAAGAGGTAGGAAAACTGTTGTTGATTTGGATAAATGAAAAGCAGCCAGTGCCAGCCTTTTCAGAGGCAGTGTGTTATATGACCAAGCAAAGATGCTGCATACTGACCTGGAAGACATCCCTGGACCAAATGCTAAAAGTGATTCACTTAAGGCCAGTATTGTTGGTTCGATAGCTGAAAGAAAAGAAGTGTTTATTTATAGATTAAACAGTACATTAGACATGTACTGTATATAAGAAAGATTAAAACGGAATCATTTGGGGGTCTGGAACGGATTAATTCAACTTACCTTACATTATTTCTAATGGGGAAAAAATGACTCAGTTTTCAAACAAATCACTTCTCGAACAGCCTTCTAGAACGAATTAAGTTCAAGAACTGAGGTTCCACCGTGTTTATTTTCAACTAGTATATTAACCAGTAACAAACTGATCTGGTAAATTCTCCAATTTGGTAAATTACCCAGTATGTACTCCCTTTTGTTCTGGGCAAGAGAGGCCTTGCTTTGCAACCTGTGAATTAGAGGACTCTATTCTGGCCACACTTTGCCATAGGATGAAGGATCTGAAGAGCCAAGAGGGTATGCCCATCTTAAGCCCTCACTCTGTCCACCTCCATGCTGTGGGTACTGTACAAAATTAGTAGCCTTAGCCTGAAGGGTGGCTAGGGTTTGAAGTGGGTAGGATGTCCACACGTGTGAACAAGCCCCCTCAAGTTGTTGATTGAACTGGGGAATGTGAAGAGAAGGGTGTGGGCTGGCACTCCCATGTCACCACACCATAGTGTGAAACTTCAAGGAGTCTAAAAATTCTAAATTAGTATCAGTACCTCCAGGTGGTTGAAGGTATATTTATCAAGACTGGAGGAAGAGACCATATTTTATTTAATAGTTTAACTTGATTTATAACTTGAATATTTAGACGTATGCAATGTAGGTCTCCATGAAATTTTTATTGTCAGAATCTTCGTTTGTCATTAATGGTTTTAAATATGCTGGGTAATATAAAAAATGTATATCATTTGGACAGACTTTCCCTTTGCTACAACATCAGGTAAATTTCCCATTGGATGGTTTTTCATCCGATAAATTGAGTGATAGGCAAAATTCACATCAAACAGTCATTCCACCACAACTATGTTCGAGGATTGCATCCTCATGTACTCCATTTTCGCTGAGAAGGCAGTTCCTATCGGTATTGATAGTACTTGTTGATGACTGTTCTCTTGACATATTCTGTCGTTGCCACCGCCTTCTTTCAACTTCAAAGGCACGTTGGTCTTTAGACGTTTTCTGTCAATAACGCCGGTGTTTTTCGGCATCAGAGCGACGTTTTTCTAGTAGCTGCTGTTCAGATACATCCAGTGACAGGCGCCGCCTTCTTTCAAGATCAGACGCACGCTGCTCTGCAGACACTTTCTGTCGATAACCCCAGCATCTTTTGGCTGCAGAGCTATGTTGTATCAACAGTTGTTCTTTAGACATAGCTCGCTACTGTCACGGTCTGAGATGCAGATGAATGAGAGTCCTGGCTATCAGGCCGCTGAGAGCTGTCTGACCAATGGCTGATTCTGGTTGATTCTGTGGGGGTGGGACTTCCTCCTCCCTACTGTCAGTTTCCACAGCTGTGATGAGGAAGCTGGGGTGACAGAGGAAGCCGCGCCCTACAAGCCGCCCTCTCTCTCCCTCTGCTCTATGTCCAGCGGTCTCCTGCTCTGCCAAGTCCTCCAAACCTCCCGCTCTCCACCGGCAAGGTCCCGGGAGCCCGTGGGCATGGCTAGGCGCGGGTGGCCGCGCCTACCTGACTGGCGAAAGTCCTGGGAGCCCACAAGCATGGCTACGGCCTCACCTCCCGGGGCCGGCGAAAGTCCCGGAAGCCCGTGGCCACGGCTGCCGTCGCCTCCTGGGGCTCTTGACCCCTGCGTATGGAAATTAACCGCCATCTTTGTCAGATAATTTGCATAGTCACTCAGATTGGCTGGTGGGCGTGACTGGTGGGCATGGCTTGAGTGTAGCGGAGGGATGGCTAATTTGCATGTTTCTCTTTTATTATATGGGATAGTATACTAGAGGCCCAATGCATGAAATTCATGCAAGGGGCTTGGCCCTCGCAGTCCCAGCTTTGTCTGGAAGGTCTTCTGGAAGGACTTCTGGAAGGTTGTTCGGCTGTCTGGTCTAATTAGCATATTATCCTTTTATTATTATAGATATTACTGTGAGTTCACATTGGTTATCCAAAGGAATGAAAACATAAAGAGAATTAAATATTTATTGGCAGCTACTGTGCACCAGGCACTCTGCTTTACATACATCATATCATTCCAGCTTTACAATAATCCTCCCATGGTATTACTACTCACATTTCTCAGATAAGGACACTAAGGCCTAGAGAGTACACATGTCTTTTCTGGCTTACTTAATCAATTAGCATCTCTCAGCAGAGCTAGGAGCTGTCTCTCTGTGCCTTGAAGCCTGGGCTTTTTCCTCACCCCAATCTGTTCTCCTGGAGCATTTCTGCATCTGTAAAGAATTCCTGCTAAAGGCTTTCCATTCCCTGCCTTTTTTATCTGTGGATCTCTTTCACTAGATTGTGAACTGCCTGAAGGCAGAGACTATGTCTGCGCCAGTGTTGTGTCCTAACAGAATTCCTGGATGACTGTAGAAGCTTTGTAAAATGTCTGTTGAATGAAGGAGAGAAGGCATTTCAGTTTAAGTCATCAGGATGCTAAAGCCCAAGTTGGGCACTTAGCTGGCAAGATAAATTGCTCTCAGCAGTTGACACAATATGAGTGAATCCTGTGTTTAAGTGACTGGTTTGGGTGGTCGTTTAAGAATTTTATGCTTAACTCTGCTATCTGAAATTTATAAACACATATATGAAGCAAGCAACTAAGAAACTTAAGTAGAAACATAATGGTCCTAGCCAGTTGGTTCAATGGATAGAGCGTTGACCTGCAGACTGAAGGGTCCCAGATTTGATTCCGGTCAAGGGCACATGCCTGGGTTGCGGGCTTGATTCCCAGTAGCGGGCGTGTAGGAGGCAGCTGGTCAATGATTCTCTTTCATCGTTGATGTTTCTATCTCTTTCTCCCTCTCCCTTCCTCTCTGAAATTAATAAAAATATATTTTTTTTAAAAAAGTGGAAACATAATGGGTTCTTGAGAGTTTGTGGGACCTAAAATATGCTTTAATGAGGCTTTCATTGCCTCTTTTTCAGGCAAGACTAGAAATCTGATGAACTTTTGGGATTATTGAAGGAATATGTCTTTATCATTTATTATTACTTGGTGATTCATATTTTACAATTAGATTAACAACTTTACAATAGAATTACTTTGTGTCATTCTATTTCACTAGTTGTATTTCTTAATTTTCTAAAATTGCTTCACATGATGGAATTCAGAATGTGTATGTCTTGGCAGAATCTTAGATGGGGAATTGATGTCAGAGTTTATAGTCATCACTCAGGCAGAAGAATCCTTGTTGTAATAGGGAAGCAGAAAGTATCCCCCTTCCTGTAGTTTCAAGGGAGAGGAATGTAGTTTCTGTAAGAGGGGATATTACTTTTCTAAATAAAAGGTAATTACCTCTTTTAAAATGACCTTTAACAAATAACCGGATATAGTTTTCCAGCAAAATGGGTTTGTTTGAGAACAACAAAGAATTAAAATGTGGGACATGCATTCAAATGGTGAACCAAGTACAAACAAAGGAGGAAAACACCCTTTTATTGCACTTGGGAGGAGTTGCTTTAAACAGAGAGTCCATTAGAGGAAACTGAAAGTTTGAAGTATAGTGATTTTTCCGTTAGCTCCATATGTCAGTCTCCCATTGGCTGAGCTATTA